TATGCACTGGAGTCAGAATTAGAGCAGCTGAATAATAAGTATTAAACCACAAGCAGTATATTAAATAACATTAACTGTTTCTTATGCTCATAAAAAGAAAAAGTCTATACTTGGAAAGCAAATTCATATAACTGAAATTGGAGCAGCTGACTTAAATTCAGTGTACTTTACCAATAAAAATCTGTCATTCAGACAACTGCAAGATATAGTATGGTATTGCAGTTTACCTTTTCAAACACTTAGATCTACCTGATGTTATAATAGCATTTTTTCACATGCACCAAAAAAAAAAAATCTCTTGCACTAATCCTCATAAATAATCCACTTCTAATGTCTAATTACAAAATGAGTGTGGAACATTTTACTTTGAAAAGACAAAAATTCCCCTAAACCTAAGGAAGCTGAAACAGAAAAAGTTCCCCATATTAATCTCTCAAAAGCAATAAAGTGTAATTGCGTAAAATTCCCCACAATCCTCAATTCCCAGAAGTAGAAAGTTAAAGAAATCCTAGCTATTCTGATTCCTCCTCAACCTTTTGAACCCATGAAAACATAGAAGTGTACTAGCATTGCTGCCCTGCAGTTGAAGCTGTAGTGCACGTACAACTTCAGAGCCCTTCTCCCACTACACCACTAAAACCTGAGCTGCACATTGTGCCTTGTGGCACGTGGAGTAGCTTACCAAGAAGACAAATCACTCAAACAAATCAACTGTCTGACCCATTTCCCTCATAAACTGTATACATACAACGTAATAAATATACTGTTATTTCCTAATAATACGGTCAACTTAGCAAAATGCTGGACCACAAACTAGGAGAGCTGAATTCCTGCAGATGAAGGAGAGGAAGGGTTTAGCAGGAGGAAAAAGTGATGCAGGTGCCTCTGACTGTTAGGCACAGTCATAAATTCTTGCAAGGTATGACCTCGGAAGAGGTATTTCCCTTGTCTCTACAAGGAAAAAAAAAAAGAAAGAAAAATAAAATCAACCCATGTCTCAAAGTACTGATTTCTGTGCTCGAACCTCTATGGAATCCAGGTCTTCATTTCAGAGCAGCTACCCAGTTTTGCCAAAAGAAATGTTGTGCGATACAACAAGGAGCTCAAACTCGATTTTCTCATGGATTGCCATAAAGAAGTGTAGTGCTCAGACCACTTGGGTTTACGGACAACCTGAAGAATCTTGCTTAAAACAAGATTTGACATCTCTCAATAGGAGTATAACATTCCTAACTGTATTTTCCTAATTTGAAAATTTTAAGTATGTTCCAAGCGAGCAGCTTAAACTTCCATGCGGAGCACTGTGAATGGGCATGATTTAAACTACCTCAGTATGAGCTCACATATGTGGGCAATCACCACCTGAGCATCAGCAGGAGATGGGCTGAGATCAGCAAATCTACAGGAAAGGCCTAATTTGAGTTCAGAGCCACAAAACCCAGCAATTGGGCACACAGTGCAGGCTCTTTTCTTTACTTCCAGACACGCTATCCCATAGTGTGTATATATACAGGTAGTTAGAGACATTTTATGAGTGAAGACTGGATCACAAGTTCACAACCCAGTACTGAAATGACAGACAACTGACACAGATACATTTTTCAAAAAGACGTGGTGAAAACCTCCCACACAGATCCAGTCTTCTAAAGACAACTCTAAGCCTGTACAGACGTCATACACAAAGTGAACTTGGGAAGATCTTACCTAACCACAATCACCGCATATGTGCAAAACACTACAGGATTGGAAGGCAGAGGAGAAGACAACAGATGGAGGAAATTTCACAGTACCTTTACCGTCAAAAGAGTAGCATGACAACTCTCTAACACAGTCCAAAAGGCATGTTACTGTCTCAGAAGAGGCCCCCTGTCTCCAAGGGATGAGAAATCTGACTTGTGGTCAGATAAGCATAAACCATGACCAGCACAAAAATGACAACCAATTCTTGACCGTGCACTTATCCTATCTGGGAGTGTTTACATCCTCTGTCAATTAAGATTTTCTTACCATTTGAGTAACCGCTGTTCTTGCAGGATCCTCAAGGGCTTCAAAGACCAAAATTTAACAACATCCCACACAAGGGCAGACAGACTGCTACTTTATTTTCTTTCTCATGCTTGACCCCCTGCAACTCTGCATACCAACAGATGCATCAGGCTACACAGGTGCATCAGTTTTCTACGATAAACAGCTTTATCTTGCACTTCCCATGTCAGAATGGAATCGCTTATCCCCTAGAGTCCCTGAGTGAAGAACCCATTAAAGGAAAGAAATCTTTTCTCACTTACTGCCCAACCTATGCATGGAAATAGCACAAGAGTCTACTGCAAATAAGAGCACACCCTGAATGAGATAGTTGGCCATGCTACAGTGGAACATCCCGCTGGACAGAAGTAACTGCAACTGGTTTTCAGAAAAATGCTAAAGCAGTCTACTGAAAAGGAAGGGCTGTATCTTCAGAAGTGGTGCAAATCTACCACTGTATTTATGTATACCCACTCACAGGCAGGATGAAAGAGCTAAACACGTTCTGGCGGAAGACACTAGTTCCAGAAAAGGCTCGGTGATGTTGTGAAACCTAGATCCTGGGATTCAAATTTAATAAGGAGACTTTTTCATCTTCTCCCATGGTTCAGCAAAGCTCAATTCCTGGCCCGCAGGCCACATCAGGTCTACAAAGGAGAGCAAGACAAACCTGCTGCTTTTTCTTGTGAAGGACATGACATAAGCTAACAAAAGCCCCTCCCCATGCTTGGGCGCTACCTGGCACCCAGCTGCACAAGAAAGCAGAACAGGGGCAGGAGGTCAGTTTCTCCTTCAGCACGTATGTATGGCACTAAGCTGAAGGTGATGCTTCAAAGTAAGTTTTGCTACACAGGAGACGTTCCGTAGCCCTACAGTAACTAAGGCGACACCACCTTAATTTTTGCTTCAAATTACATTCGTTGTGATGGGCAGAGGGTTGCAGTGCTCTTTCCAAAAGACATCATCTGCTTTGTGCTCTCCCATTACATTGGCATACTAAGCAATCACATCACAACTTTTTTAAAAGTCAGTCTGTTGTTAGGAGTTTTCTGTCGTTTTCAGCATATCAAAAGCATTGCCATATCCCTTTAAGGGATGTTAAAACTCAAAAAGACATAATTCCTTGCTTAGTCACGGATTTTTGGAAGAAATTGCAAGTTCACAAGCATTCAGGATCCTTACCCTGGGATTAAGGGAAGATTTGGTCCTGTGAGGGATTTTGTTAGCTCATAAGTCAATCACTAACTAAAGAGAAAATGCTAAAGGGAAAAATAGATGGAAAAAAATGGATGTGCCTGAAAACACAATGGTGTCTGCGGTGAAGTCATCTCTGAAGGATATCTCAGTCTTTCCCACAAAAGTGTGGAGATTTCTGAACCACCTGCTTGTTCGCTGCTGCCAAAGAGACAAATGCAGTTTCATCTCTTTCAGAATATGATTGAGAGGGTGGAGATCAAGTTAACATCATAGAAACATTTGGTCATTATTCATCTGGCTCCTCAGGAAAGTATATTTAGATCTCCTGGATTACTTCTCATCACTAAGGAGAGGAAATCATAGATTCATAGAATGGCTTGAAATGGAAGGGACCTTAAAGATCATCTGGTTACAGCCCTCCTGCCACGGGCAGGATGACCACCAACTTAATCTAATCACCATTAGCTAACATCACTGCTAGCCTGCTATGAACAACTCTCAGTTTTCTACATGCATTGTAACAAATTCCCATCCTAACCTGACATCTGCGATACACAAATTCACAAAACAAGTTCCAATGCAATGTGCCATGCAGTCTTTACACACCTAGGCTTTTGGAGACCTAGAGGAAAAAAAGTTTTTCTTAGGAAAACTTCTTATGAGTTCTTTAAATCAGACTAGAAGAGACTTCAACATTACAACACAGTTAAGGAGTGCAGTCACAGAGTGTAGGATTTAGAATCAGAACCTGGCATAAAGGGGAGTTCTGATAGAACTTTATTATCTACAGATTTGTGAGGCCAAAAAGCAACAGCGCTATCACCTCCCACCTACCACAGGGAACAATTTTATAGACATTTAAACAACTAGCTTTGTGGTTTAATAAGAAAAAATGTGCCTTATTTGTATTTGGAACATGGAGTTTCGAGGTTAATCAATGTTTATACAGTGTTAGCCATTTATCTGCAAAGACATTAGAGCACGTTTATTCAACAGTGGCATTTCAAAGGGGCCTAAGTTGGGTCAGGTCTCCCTTCAGCCAGGTACTAATGTCTCTAGAGTGCTATAGTCTAGCACTAAAGAAGTAGTATTAACTTGCATGGTTGGGGGGATGACATGAGGACACTACAATCAACAAAGTAGCTTGGCTGGGTGATGGGGCAGTTGGGGAGAGGGTGCTTATGACAAGGTTCACGCCTTGCAGCCTGGATATGCTAACCCTTACATTCTGCCAAATATTGGGAATGCAACTGCATAACTTGTAGTAGAGAAGAGATGCTTTTGTGCTCTCCCTTGGAAAGACAAAGAAAACCAAAACATGACTATACAGTAAGGGCTGGGATGTATGAAATCGGAAGAAAAAGATCTTCCTAGTGAAAACCTCCTAAACCTAAATTTTCCTCATCACAGTAAGTATCTACCTGCAAGGTGAGGTAGGCCCCGGCTCTCCAGTGGAGAACAGTCTATAGTGTTGGGCACAGTACCACTGCTAAAGTTGCTGCCCTTGCAAATACTGAAGAGGGAATTGTTAAAAATGCTTAAGACTAGTTAAGACTGACTCCACTACAGACATCCAGCAGGGATCACAGCCCAGTCCTGTCGACTCACATGAATTTGTCAGCTTTTGTCAAATGAAAAACAGTCTTGTATGGGAGGGAAAACTACCTGTCTGGAGGGCCTAGTACCCACCATAAATTACAGTAATAATTTTATAGTTGCTGTTAGTTAAAATAATTGGTTTTTTTCCCCACTTTCCTTCAGCTTCAGAGACATAAACCATGCGTTCCAGAAGTCACAGCACAGAAAGCCCAACCAGACCAAAGCCGAGCCAGCAAAGGCCGAAAGAGCACCATAAAGAAGAGGTTGGTTACAGTGGGAGAGGAAATGTGCACAGAAGGCAGAAGGAGAAGGACGATGTAGGCCAAACCAGTACCATCCTAAGGAGCCCTAAGGCAGAGAAAAAACCAGGAGGTTCTTTCAAGAAAAAAGAGGATCTCTCTCGTGATGACTTGCTATTTCTTCTTAGTGTCCTCGAGGGTGAATTACAGGTGATTTATTGTCGTACCTTACATACCAAATTAAGGCACACTTCCCCCCACTCCTTACCCATGCCAATTTACTGCAAACACATGCTGCTTTCACATTAAAGGCAACACATACTGAATTTGATATGGAAAGACAAATATAAACCGCAAATTACATGAAACTGCAAACTATAGCTGTTACAGCTATCAGCCAGAAAAGATGATCTTAACACCACTCCTAAACAGAAATAAAATTTATTCACAATATACCTGTATCACACCAAAAACACGGTCCACTGCGAAGGATCATGTAACTACCAAAATAGGAAACTTACATAGCTTTCTGATTGTGCTGCCCTATTCTAATTACTTTGAATACAAAGTATTTGTCACTGCAAAACCTACAGGGAGAACATACTAGAGTTCTTTAAGATCTGTTACTTAATTATTTCTTATCTCTCCTCTCCTATGAGGTCATGAGCATTACTTCCTATGAATCAGGATGTGCCAGATCACAAGATACTCACTCAACAGTATTATAACATCATTTGCTAGAAAAATCAAAATAATTATTTAACTTCCTGTAATACAAAGCATAAGCGCTGCATGTCACTTGGCACACAAGATACTGGATTTTGAAGAGCGAGCATTTTTCTGTCTGAAAAAGAAGCCAGTTGCCAAGTGGTAAATGATGCCTAATCTGGTGAAATGTAATTTCAGGAAGTTGGAACCAGATTTCCAGAGAGCAGGGAGAGTTTTTCTGTGGTAGGCTGATTGCAGAGAAGTTGTGTTGGCCGCTTAAAACTGCTCACAGGCAGAGGGAAGAGCAAATTAGTCAAAGTAGTGTGAGTGTATCACATGGTTTCAGAGTTTATTACCTACACAATATCTGGGGAGTTCCATTCTTAACATATGCATCTATGTTTACATAGTAATACATACATGCTTAACAGAACACACATGCAATATGAGTATTTGATAGATGTACCAGTCTCTGATGGGAGATGCAAGGCAGACTTCTATAGAATATTTCATTATGCAAGCAGAACAATTTCTGTGTTCGCACAACACTTATCTCCTGCTCACTTGCCCTTTCTTAATTTAGATTAAAATTCAGATGACACACATTTCTCCAAAACATTTCTCCTCTCACAAAAGAGATGTTGGTGTATATATATATGTATTTATATATATATATATTTATATTACACACACTTCATTAACTTGTGTAATATATAAATGCATACATTGTGTAATATCTAAATGCATACATGCTTCAATTCTTAAGATTTAAATCTGGAACACAGTGAAATGAGAAACTGGAAAACAATGAGCCCGATACAAACATTTAAAATTATGTTCGACATTCCAGAGGAAGCATTATGAATGAAAAAAGCAAGTAGTCATTTTTTATTCCTAGTTTTCCACATCCTGTCCAATCTCTGGAGATCAGCTGTCAATCCAGGCATAATTAAGTTTCTAAGTTAAATGCCATTACTTTCCAACTTCAGAACATTTAAGATGCATGAAGATAACCCTTCTAGATTTTTTCCACAATGATAAGGATTAGAAATAGTTTATACATTTTTCAAACAGAGTCAGAAATATGGATACAGAGGTGCTCCAGCCAACGGAAGCTACCCTCTCCTGATACATCCCTCTTTCTGATCTCCTCCCTTCCTATTTTATTCTTTTGATATCAGCAGGTACTTTGTTCTGGTTCTAACCGAGATCATTGCAGACAGTGGATGTTTGAGACGGTTCATGTATTTATGTCACCAAAGTGGAGGCAGGAGGCAACTTCCATCACCAGAGGATACTGCAGAAAAAAAAAGAAAAGAAAAAAAAAAAAAGATGGACACAGCCCTAAGGGAGATTGGGAGATGGTGACCTAAACCAGTTTCCCTCTGAGTGGAAACATTTAGGTAATCAGATACTCTCATGAAAAAACATTACCATTAGAAATAGGACTTTTAGTCCCACTTCTAATGGCAATTAGTTTTAGTGGGGCAATTAGCACAATATTCACAGCAGGTATTCTGTCCACTCCAACCTAACATCTAAGAGCTGTAAACTTCATAGCAAACAAGTGCTCCTGGTGGTTTGTTACATTTTTGGTTAGGGATTTTCTGTTGGGTTTTTTTTGTCTGTTTAAAGAGAATCTATTTATCACTTCAAATACTGCAGATACATACAGCACCTTTCTCAGCATGGAGCATGGACTTAGATAGGAATGCTGTATGATAGGAAGAAGGGATGTGCACCTGCCAGCTCTCACGAGAATTTCTGAAATATATACCTGAAAACATATTGTATCTACTCTTTGATAACAGGGTGTGATCAGTTATTTTATAAAAATAGGGAAACAAATTCAGTGACATTAAAAAAAGAAAAGTATGTGCAGTTTTTTAGGCTATATTTTTTGAAACTGCATGATTTTTGGAAACCAGATAACCCAATCTTCTCTTAATTGTTACCTTTAAAATGCCTTTATCACGCACTTACAAATTGAGAGCACCCGTACAGCAGTTACTTCCAAAAAACTTGGATGCTGCAAGGTTGCTTGTTACCTGAGGGCATGTGTGTGACTGTGTGCATATCTACAAGCCTATAAACACACAGGCCATGGTCTCACACATGCATGCAGATGTATATATACATGACAGAGGACCTCAGTGCCAGCTTTGAAGGTAATTAATCTTTTTTTAAAGAACAGCTACTATTGCATGGGTTTGGAATGCATGTTGCGAAGGGTCACATCTCCTGCACCCCACACCTCAATACACTGACCACTCAAAAAGCTCTGTCTAACAACAGAAACAGACTACCCCAGGCAGATTGAAACTACAAAAGTCATCGTTGCACCCAAAACATACAGAATGTGCAAACACGTCAAAGCTTCAGGAACCATCCTAATGTCCTGCATTACCACAAGTCACACTGTGCCCTGAATTTTATTTTTTTGTGTGTGAATGTTACACTCTGGTCTAGGAACAGCAATACAGTCTAATCACTAACAAAGTATTTATGAACTGCTGAAGGTTCTGAAGATGTTGGAGTTTACGAAGAACTAATAAAATATAAAGACCAGTACTTTCCTCGTGACTTTTTCATGTTACTGACTACTTTGGGGCACTTTACATATACAGCATTCTTCAAAATTTTTGTTAATTCTTGTAAAAGTAGAAAGCTAACCTGTAAATACACACATACAGTTCAACAAAATAAACCCTTACTTTGTGTTTTTGCAGGCGCAAGATGAAGTTATAGGAGTACTTAAGGCTGAAAAAATCGACTTGGCTTTGCTTGAAGCACAATATGGCTTTGTTACTCCCAAGAAGGTGCTAGAAGCCCTCCAGCGAGATGCTATTCAAACAAAGGCTGAGCAATGGCAAGAAGATATCTACGAAAAGCCTATGGGAGAGGTAAGAACACGTAATTGATATTTAACCATATTTCCCAACGAATGGAACTGAAAATCTCTCACTGATTTCAGGAGAAGAAAGAAAACGAGCTCTTAACCTAGAGTGTAAGCGACAGCAGAACAAAGTTCAGGATTCAGTGGGGTCTAGAATCAGAACGGGTATCTCATATCCTCATTGATACTGCACACTGGGGGCTTTAAACACAGACAGACATGATTTTGGTCTAACTCAAACTTTTGATAATCAGATTTCTACTTTTGACACCATCTTTTTTTTCCTTTCTGTTATCCAATTTCATAATCCATACAAACAGATGCCTCCCTCATTGAGGCCATTTTACCAGTAGCTGGTAAGGGCCCATTCAGTAGTATCGGCACTTGACATACCCCACACACTCTGAACACTGTTACCTGAATTTCATTATGCCCTGCAGTGCAAATCACTGGATATTAAAACCTCTTCATATAATAAAAAAACCCTCTTCATATCATTTTAATATCATATTTTCCCAACTAAGTGTCTACTCTTGATTTTAGATAAACATTTTTAATACGTTGCTCTGTGAGCAGCATAAAAATAAAAACAGAAATTATTAATAAAATTATTCTGCCAAGTGTTTCCCACGCTTTCTGAGCAAAAAATGTACCTAAGGATACAGAGCTCATGTCAGAGAAAATTATGTCAGTCAAAAGGTCAACAGTCATTTCAGAGGCTCAAAGGTTAAAATCTCTGGTTATAATCTGAAACAGATAAAGTTCAGCTGTGGAGGTTAATTTATTCTAAACCACTGTGGCATTATGTCATAGAAGCTTTGAGCACAAACGGAAATTATTTGAATGGAAGTCCCAAAAAAGTTTGAAAACGTAAGTTCAGTCTGCTACTGTACAGAAGTTTATACACACTTTTTCATTCTTACATTTAATGGCAGAGAAAGGATTTCTAACACCACTGGATTTGGTAATCCCAAAAGGCAAAGGTAAACATCCTAAGAGCAACTGAAAGGCTAGAAGGACCTCTGGCACTTCATATGTCTTGGTAAACCAAAGGCATTCCACAGTTTGAGTTTCAAAATGCCCCTAAATTAAATCAGAGATCCATTTAAGTTTGGTTGGATTTTTTTAAACATTTATAAAAAAAGAAATGAGAGGTGGAACAAGTCACAAAGCGTGAGAATCGAGCATTTAACTTCCCCCTTTGCCACTATGACAATATGCCTTTGTATCTGCCTATAAAATCTCTGATGATCTGTCCTCTAAAGTATTTATCCCCCCTTCTTGACAATTTAGTCTTGGAGCCCTCAACACAGAGGATCTTCCCAGATGAAAAATACAGTGGATTTCAGAAGGCATTTGTAAGATTACTGGTCCTTTAGCACGACCTCACAAATCACCTATCCTAAACTTTATGAAGTTTCTTGGCAAATTTGGCAACAACTGTAGTGGGAAAATACGGTGATTTGGACAGTTTTACTCACTAGGAACAGGATTCATAGCAATGTAGCAAAACCAGAAGTAATACATCTTGCTTTGCAAAATCTACGACAAATTTGACAGATCAAAATTACGTCTTCCTTGGCTATGAGGAGACATTTTTATTTTTTGAAAGCAGAGGGCTTTCTCAGCCACATTTGCTCTACAGCTATTTTGTTCTGCAACCTAACAAATGCCAGATAAAACTACTTTTTCCTCACACTTGAGGATACATTAAATCGTTTCATATTTAAAGAGGCACAAAATAAAAGAGAAAATAGACTTTTCTTTTATGTCTGTTTCTGTTTGATACAAAGGCCTGAAAAGGTTTTCTATCTTTGCATGGTTTATAAATTTAGATTGAGTCAGTTATTCATGACAAAATCTGGCTTCAGATCAAATGCCACTTCTCTTGAATAGAAAACAAACTGTATTCAATATTCCAGTAAATAGAGAACAATAGCATAAGAATCCTTTTCCCAGATTCAAAAACATAAACAAATTTTCAAAAATAATAAAAAACAAATCAGAGAAAGTGAAGTAAACAGAGACAAAGAGGAAGATAATGCAGAATTTCTGGTGTCTTTTTCTCATGTTTCAAACCTTCACGGAATTAGAAAGCCAATTCTGATTTCTAACTTTCCCCAGCTTCCAGCAACATAGTCAAAGATAAAAAAAATGGTGCCTCACTGTTGGAAATGTGATGAACAATACCTCCTACCACTCTGAGAACTCCTCTAAAAGCAGTGAAACTAGACGAAAGCCTATACTCTGCATCCATCAAGGATAATTAAATATTGAATCGAGTTTAAAAATCCCAGTGTCAATCAACTCAGAGAAAGATTCATCCTCATCAGCCTTTGAAAAAAGTATATATAACTGCATCCTCACAAGGTCTTAAAGGTGTTGGTCACAATTTTCCAACACAGACAGCTGTAGGGCACCAGTAAGTTACAGTGACAGAAAGAGTTTGAAACAGTGACGTTGACAATGTGGCATTCAGGAAAAACAGATCAACAGACCTGCGTGGAAATTTGGCTCAGTTAGGGTTGAAAAAGACAAGGGAGGAACTGCTCCCATAATCTCCAGTAATCCTGAACTCAGGATTATACATTTATAAACAACGGTCATGAGGATATTGTTAACAGGAATAATATTTCACTGAAGTTTAGATAAAGAAATGTAAATAACCTGGATGTTATTCTGGCACAGCGTCAAACACAAAACAGTCTAAAAAGGAGAAAGACAAAAAGTTCAGTTCCAGTGTAATGGATATGAGACACACCATGCCAGTTTGACTTCAGACACGAGCTGGTGGATAAATATACTTAAATGATTAAGTTCCTGGGAATTTTTAGCTTGCTGAACTATTCACAGTTACGTAAAATCATGCCTCTTATTTTCCATTGTATTGTACAGTACGTTCAAGTATTAATTCTAGCTAAACACTCATATGGTCAGGAAGAACAAAACAACAAATCACTTAATTAAGATTTTATCACTTTAATTTTCAACAGAAGACATTTATAAAGCTGCTTATTAGTCCTCTGTGGTTTTAGCCAAGAACTGCATATGCTGAGCAAACGTGTGCGTACATATAAATGGCTATTTCTGCATGCCCAGATTTGGCATTTGGACAGAGTAATTTGAGGAACCAAGGGCTGCTGAAGACCGCTTCTCTGAGAGGATTCACACTACCAGGGGTTCACACGACTCCTCTTTCTTCTCTGCTGGGTATGTGGGAGTCGGCCATGAGATCTCACAGGGAAAACACAAGAGTCATGTTTGCTCCCAAGGAAGTGCCCTTACCTTGCAGAGGGACACGATGGAGCTTCCAGACCAACCACACAAGAGCAGCAACCCAGCACCAGACCCCGCTCTGCTCAGTCATGGCAGAGCAGATTTGACAACATTCTTGAAAATGAAACCTAAATGCATCTTCTAATCTAAGCAACAAGAGAAGACTGCTGCACAAAAACAGTTTTGATGCAGCAGCCTATATACTTGTCTCTCTCACCCTTTCATGTAAGCAGGTCTCCCCAGGACACTCCTGTTCTTTGACCCACTTTCAAACTCCATCTCCCTGCCCTGAATACACACCTCTCCAATCCCAAATACCAGTTAGTAATCCAAACTGCTAATCTCAACACTGACAAAAGCACAACTGTGAAGTGAAAGGCACTGTCATTGCTCATTGAGAGCTGCAAAACAAAAACCCAGAGTTACTACCTTTCTTTTTGCATACATTTGGATGACTACTCTTGTAGCCGTTCAACAAACACTCTAGAGCAAACAAAATATACTGAATCCATAAGGCCCTGCTAGCAGGTCCCATCTCCTTCACACTCAACAGTGCAGAAGCAGGACTATTTTCTATGTGGTTAATGTTTTTTGTGTTGATGACTAACCTTCATCTCCATCAGGCACTTACATTTTTGGAAACAGGGGCTGATTTATGATCAGCTTACAGCCAGAAATTTCAGTGTTTTCTTGTGATAGAGATTACCTATCCCATCAGATCCTTACACATACTTTTGAAGTGCTGGTCCAGTTTATACAAGTCACAGAATGTGTTGGGCTAGAAGGGACCTTTAAAAGTCATTTACTCCAACCCCCCTGCAGTGAGCAGGGACATCTTTAACTAGATCAGGTTGCTCAAATGCATCACTTTCTTAACACCATCTGTGCAGACCGCCTGCCAAAAGAAATCAGAAGTTCAAACCTTTGCCTTCTTCCCCACCTGCCCTTGGCCGAGGCCAGCAAGCACTATCAGACAAGGCTGATGCCCAGCTCATATAAGTTTAAGCAAGGCAGGGCCATAGTTGCAAGCATCACTACATCAAAATTTTATCAAAAACAAAAGGCAGTTTGTTTTCTGAGAACAGCATATGTTCACCTGACAGCATGACCTTTACTGAGACAAGGATCAGAAACTCAAGTGATGGTGCTTCATGAATCTGTGCAATAGCTGTTCCAAGAAAACCCTCTGAAATCTTGGTGGAGAAGAAGTGTTGATAAAACACCCTGAAATTTCTCTCTCTCTTTATGTTATTAGCTGAACAAAAGATTTCAGATTTTGAAATTTGCAATTCTGGTGAAAAAAGGGACAGTGTAGAGAAATTAAAAATGGCCAGTTTTCTTCAACTTGACCTTTTAAGGCAATTCAGTTTTCAGCCTCTGTAAAAGACATAGAAAACACAGCCAAGAGATTACTGTATAAATCGGCACTTGCTTACTGAAAAAGCTTGCATGTGCACAGGTTTAGCTAAGAAATGTTTCTCAGAGAGGTCCTACTCCAAGATCATGATTCCAGAAAGCATTAACCTACCCAGTGTAAAAGCACACAAATTATGAATGAGCCCTCTGCTGTAAGAGCACTATAAAATAGTAAAAAAGTACAGCCAGTTTTCTTTACATTTTCTGATCATATGAGCTCAGCTATGTTGCAACAGAAAAGATACTTTCTAGTATCTTAAGCAGAAAGCACCTGAAATTTTCAAAATAGGTGAAAGACTCAAATCACCTTCAAAGTCTTGTCAATAGTTCCTTTTTCCTCATTCATAGCAGTGTCACCAAAAAAAGTTAATAGTGATTCAGGAGAAATGGGAGAGAATATATAAAGCTTAAAAAGCAGCTCAAAGCAAGGGGAGACATGGAAGCCCATGTAGAAATTGATGATACTCTCACTCATTCAAGAAGCTCATATTTAGGCATTGCAGCTCTTCCTGTTACTGCTTCTATCAGCCACACTGTGAATAAACATGAGGAAATTAACTAATCATACTCCTTGTAATTAAATTGTCAAAAATAAGCAGTGATCCTAAGAATATGAAGCCCTAGTGTTTCTTGCGGCACACCGAGTTCCTTGTGGGGGAAACATCGGAGAACCAGAACCAGCCTTGCTTCCCACACTGCCCATTTGTGAATTCTTTCCTATTAATAGACTGAAGTACTGCAAAGCAGCTTGACACACTAGAATAGACTGTGGTTAAAAGGAGGCACTGGGCTTTGAGTTCAAAAATGTCTCTTTTTCCAACCGGGATACGAGGATTCCTGTGTTGACTTGATGAGGGAGGCAGTCTCCACGAGGGAAGGGGAACAAGCAGGGAGTAAAGATTCTCACAAATACAATCTTCCCAGGTCTTGAGATGGCCTCCAGTGATCCTTCCTGAGGCTTCATCTAGATCAGTAATGCCTACAGAGGAAAATCCCTCCTGGTTTCATGCACACAGTTGCATAACTTGGTCACATATCTAACTCAAAACTGTAAGAGAATCCTCAGATACTTTTCTCTGTGTTTGTGAAAATCATTTTGTTCAACAGTGTGACTCTGGTGAACAGTGTACTAAAAATTACCACCAAAACCTAAAATAGATTCAATTAAAATATCACTATATAATAATATCATTAGAAATCCTAGGATAAAGGTGAGGGAATTGAATGCTCAAAGCGTGCTATAAAGGTGTGATCTGCAAGTCAAACTCCTCTACAACATGTGAAATTTGAGGAACAAAATTTAGAATGTCATCATTAAATAAAAATACTTCCAACTATTTCAAAATTTAGCCCTTATCCCAGAAACGCAAACCCATGCTCAGGGTAAGCACAAGAGGCAGGATTGTTTTCCACTCTTGGGTTTATCACACATTTACTGTAAAACCAGAGGAAAACTGCTTTTTAGATCTACCTGTCTGCTTTACAAAGACAATTCAATGCTCTTGGTTGCTACACAGCTACAAACGAGGGGGCTATTTCCATTGAACCAGAATTCAGTTGTCTACTGTGCGAATCAGAATCTTCTTCTGCAAAGACATCTGGTTCTCTACCACAATGATCAATGGCAAAAGCACAGTCCTGGACCAGTAACTGTTAATTAGGAGCTGTCGTAAAATTTTTCATTAATGAAAGCCTGAGCAAGCAAGAGTTTCAAAAGGCTTCAGGAGGTTTTGATTTTTTTTTGTAGCTTGATAAAGTCGTAGAGAAGCAGAAAGAAAGTCACAGACGAATGCTGGAGCAACTGGTAATGGTAGAAAAATCACACAGACAGACACTGTGTGAACTAGAGGAAGAGAAGAGGAAGCACAGCAAATACATGGAGAAAAGTGATGAGTTTACAAGCTTACTGGAACAAGAACGTGAAAGGTAAGATTACCTCTTGCCATAGTAGTAAGAAGTACATGCAATTTAACATTATGTCTAAGGATCTGTCTACTTTCTTATTCTGCATTCACTGAAATTCAGAAATGTTTGCAGAGTTGTATTTTGAGTTCGGCTAAGAAAATCTGACTAAATTACTCCTAAGTGACAGTAGTGTCTACATCTCCATCAGCAGGTGAGGTAGGTCAAACGGCTGGCAGATTCTTCAGCACTGTTGCAGGGTGACAGGTATGTTACGCTAGAGAGAATAGAAGGAGACACACAAATGTGTGAAGTTATAACCATCATGAAGCAGGTGAACCTTTCAGCATGTTTCACTGCTCAGTGTACAAGTATGTAAGTAACAGGATGCAAAATCAGGCATACAGCCTTTGATGGCAGAAGAAAACACCATGAGGACAAGTAGAAGTGTTTGAGCACAGAAGTACAAAGAGAGGAAGAAAAGGCAGAAGATATTTTCAAAGCTCTGTGTAAATCAAGAGCACTATAAAGTTCTCCTGTCAGGACTGGCATAGAAAAACCATAAACCCCAACCTTATTTTTAAGTGTAACCTGGTGTAACTACAGCTTGTTTAAGCACAGCATGAGGGTTTAAATATCAACTCTCAGAAGGTGAATTAAGAAGAATTTCATGTAATTTACTGTCTTTTTAAAAGCCACTTTAAACTGTGACTTCTCTTAATCTCCAGTAAAACTGAACACATCCTAAGGAAAAAAAAATAATCAAAGAACATTTCCTACTCCCTGAATAGCTACTCCAGAAGATAGGAGAATATTGTCTCTGTTTCCTTTCACTCAGGAACAGCTTCCAGATGGAAATGTTTGGGTGTGAGAACGACAAGCCTATTCTAAACTCACATTATGCATAGATAATTCTTCCTCTCCTTTGCCTGCATAACATCATGTTCTACATACTTTGGCAGTGTTCACCCTTCGCACTACACCTCTCTCCTGCAGGTCTCTCAAAGATAGCACATACGCTTCCTACCAAGTACACAGTCGTATTTATGGTTTGCAGTTAAAGAGGTTGGGGGGAAAAAAAAACAAAAAAACAAACTTTCCTTCTCAAAAATATGTACACAGATACAGGAAAGCACAGGCACACACAGAAAAGCACATATAAAGTTCCCCCACAAGGCACAGAACTTTTTTTCTCTAAGTTTGTGAAACATCGTCCTATCAGGGACCAAAACCTGCAATGAACAGAAGTTGTCATCTCTTCTGTCCTTCTTCAAAACCTATGAGACTCTCATCTACAACTGCAGTTGCTAAAAGCAGCAGAATGTCACATCGGGCACATGCGTTCACACAGCGTGAAAAGCTGCACAGAAAGAAAGACCAAGCATCAGAGTCCTTGTGAAAATAGACATGGGATTAAAACTCTCTTCCCTGTTCCTCCTGCATATTCCCCCCAAGAAGACTGTAAAATATTTAACACTATTATCTGCAACATTTAGTCTGTTTGCCTAGAAGTAAAAAAAAAAAAAAAAACAACCCAAAAAAACCCAGGGGGTGCGGGGGAGCAGGGGAAGGGGGAGAAATACTGAGGTGCCTAATGAGGCCTTAGAGGATGCAATAATAGATTTCAGATTAAGTCTCAGTTTTTGTATTTTCTTTGGAGAATGTATTTTATGTGGAAAACCTTAAGGGGATGTGAGGTCACATGTTGAGTTGATTCCAAAATGTTTGCCAAGTAATGTCACCATCAAGATTCTCCATGCAATTGCCTGCTGTAACAAAAAAACCCCAAAACCAAAAAACAAGTGCACAACAAAAAGCAAAACATACAAAAAAACCTCACAACCAAAAAAATGCTCAGTAAGTTAAAGCATAGCTCTTTCTACATTAACCTGCCTGACTTGACATTCAGAACTCACACCTGTAACACAGCAAAGTAACCTTTTCTTCCATTTCAAAAACCTTAGCCCAATTTAAATCTTCTCAGGATGTGAATTTCACAAAGCAACAAGACTAAGTTTGGCCTCAGCAATTGCACATTCTCAGATCTGGGAGTTTAAGATTATGACAATTTTCTTGATATGAGCACTGGTTTAATATTTAAGATTAGTCCTTTAGGCATTTTAAGCACTTTTCTTGTTGCCAGCCAAAACTGATCCTCCATAGTCTTGCTGTAGTTCAGAGACAAAGATTGGTCCTTCCAAAGTGAAAAGAGTCCTAATGCTTGGCAACAGATATTTTCCCGTAAAAGAATGATAAAAACATGCTACTATCACGATATTTATTCAGTTTCAGCCACAGGAACTTTTAAAGCATGGAGTCACTGACAAATCCCTAGCAGAACAGGAACAATTTTGGGGACAAAAATGCCAAAGTGCAACAACTGGCTCGGTCTCTCCTGCACTTCAGCGTCTACCCTGTACGTGTGCAGACCAGACAGGAACAGAAAGGCAAAATACACGTGTGCAGTAGTGTACTAGTCTACTAGAGTCTGGCAGGGAAAATTTCTCTGTATTGGCGGAGCATGAAGAAACAGTGGCACCCAAATTCACAGGAATGTAAAGGAGAAATAAAAATCCAAAAGCTAGATAGAGAGACTACTAGGTGCACCCAAAGAACCAGAGCATAAAAGCCACTGAGCTTGTTCAGAAGCTCTTGTATTTTATGGGATTGATTGATGGAAGGCAGGATTAAGGACTAGGAAGAACATTTTCTTTAGATTCAAATGCAGACTCCACTGTATCTTCCCTGAGGATGTATACATTAGTCCAAACATATTCATCCACATTCCATATTTTTACAGTACAATTAAATAATAAAAGCTGCTATTTTAGGAAACATTTTGCAAAGCTAAAATATGAAACTAGAAGGATTTCCACATATGCGTGTTCCCAGTTTGAAAACACTTGCCACATGCATGCAAGCATTTATACATATTACTTTCCATTCTGCACTCAAAAAAAAGACAAAAACATAAAATAATGTAAGAATTAGCACTTACACAGCTTTTTTCCTCTGCAAATCTCAAGGACTTTAAATACTATGTAAGCACATCTATTCCTAATTTTCTGAGTACTGAAAGGAAATGGAAGGTATGAGTGGAAGAAACCAGCTACAGCTATCTGAGGGTTAAACTTGAGAGAAGAAAGAGACCTCCCAATGTATAGGTGTGTCCCATCTTCAGACTTTCTATATATTATATAGACTGTCAACTATACAAAAGGTAGGGCTTTATTATAAAGATACACCAGTTAAATAAGTGAATGTTTTTCAACAGGACAAGAAAAAATTGCAGTTTGCTAATAAGGCTCGCAGGAATCCCAACAGTAGCACAAAACTTTGCAGAAATACAGCAACAAGTAGTAGAATCTTTAGTTTAAGGATCATCTACTAAAATGTGGGGTTTTTCTATAGGGAGGAAAGCCATCATAAGCTTTTGTTTTAGCTCTGAATTCACACTCACAAAAGTCATACAGAGAATGTAGTCCAATGAAGAAAACACAATTGTTTACATAGAAGATAAACCTAACATTTCCTAAAAGGAACTTTACTCCTTATGCTCTAAGCAAGTGAAAAAACCTACACCAGCCAACCAAACTCTTTTCTATCATATTAGATACCTTTTCTTAAAGCATCAAGTAAAGGGCAATTTCAGTTTTAAGATCAAAGTTACTATTACACCTATCTGAGGGATCAGCATTCACCAAGCATAAAAAATGGAACGCAACGTGCAAAAGTCTCACAGTTGTCGTCTTCCCCATCTAACAAAATATCGTGCTTATTGCTCCAACTGCTGCCCCCCGCCCAGGTCAGTGAGTTAATATGACAACCTGTTGGGTGACACAGGTTAGAAGGGATCTCTGGAGGTCTCCAGCACAACGTGCTGCCTGCCAGGCTAACCCCACAGTCAGACCAGGTTGCTCAGGCCAGCTGATAAGTGAAGATCCCCGGGGGATGCCCATTCTGCGGGCTGCCTGGGCTCCTGAGGCATCTTTGCCATCCTTTTCCCTCAATTTCATTGTAGGTTTCATTCCAGTCTGGCTTCTGCGCCATGTTTAACTGAAACTGCTCTCATTAAAGGCTGTAACTTCGCTCTTGACAAGCCTCTGAACCTAATCCATCTTCACTGATCTTTTGGGTGCCTTGGACACAAACCAGCTCTCAGCATTTCCTTGTCATCTTACTTGCACAGAGCTCCTGTGACTCCAGCTGGACTCATTTCTCTAAGTGTTTCCACAGCATGCTCTGAGTTGGAAATTTCACACTGTCCACCTCTGCTCTGTCCACAGGATCCCACAGGTCTTGTTCTTTAGGTCTTTTATCCATTCACTCTCTGTGTTTCTCCTCACAGAAACTCAAAGCCAGCCATCATCCCTATGCTCATAACTCAGATCTAGTCCAACCACTACCTCACGATTTGTGGGCAACCTGCTATTATCCCCAATTCCATGAGACCAGAGGGCAACCAAGTCTTTTATCCCCCTGCCCTTGGCTTCATTCTTAAGATTCTCTAATAACTCAGTTCTTAAATTACTTGTCACCCAGCCTGTCAGATCAAGTGAGCCTTTCTACGCTTAAGACTCACAAATTCTTCTTCATAGCACCTCCAAGAAATAAAAAATATAACTAAAAAACCCAACAAAACAAACAAACCAACTCACAAAAATAAACCAAGCATATATTTCTCTCCATCCACATAACTAAAACCTTTTCCAGGCCCTTACTTCAAAAGTATTTTTGTCATTTCCACATTAGCTATTTCATCCCTCTATGTCTCTTTACTGGATGCACTCTCATTACTGCTTTAAGGCTATTTACCTCCTCTTGCATATTTTTACAGCACACTCTCACCCTCTCATACCATGTTATTACATGGATCAAACATCAAACTAAAAATGTACCAAGGTTAAATCATATTATAAAACTGCTCAGAAATTGCGTAGGTAAGAAATGTGATTTCATAAAGCTGAACAGTCTAGTCCAAGTGGTTTGAAAGCAATGGCTACAGACAGCACGTCAAATAAGCA